AGACAATTGTATTATAATATCTGAGACAAAGTTGACATTTTCAAACAGATGCTTTTTGTAAAAGATCATTTAGAAATCTCATACGCTATAACTGAGCAATGCAATTTTCAAAAACGATATTTTTTAAGGGAAATAGTAAGTGTGTGTTAGTGACAGGCATTAAAAACCGTCCAGCACTACAGTCAACTGTTCTTCTTCCTGGAGGTAAATGCAAATACCCACTGGGGACATTTAAACCCCCCCTCTGTTGCTGGGACGTTTGCCAGCACTATCACACACAAAAGCCAGAGCTGTCCTCCTTGACCACACCAACCTCTTTAACGCATCTTCCCAAGGACACATCTTCAAAAACAATGTGATTCTTCCTTCCTCTCTGAATTTCTCTTTGTGCATCTCCCATTCTCTCCTTATCTCCTCTGGTATTGTGCTCCTCAAAGGCAGCGAATGAAGATTAATGTGTTTGCTTTAATTAATATGCGCTAGCTGATTAGGAACAGGGAGGTACAGTCTTGTTCTTGGGCTGGGGTTTGAGGGAAGACGAGGGACGTGTGTGTGTGTGTGTGTGTGTTATAGAGGCAGACAGGTGGTGTTGATGGGGATGCCTGATTCAGTGTGCACCTTATTTGCATACACTTGCAGACAACCATCTGTGCTAATAGCCTCTGAGATGTCTCTATTAGGCTCTAAGCCACGTGTCAGTGCCAGGAGAACCGCACCCATGTTGTGCCAGTGTTGAACCGGCACCGGAGTTGTTGTAGGTTCCATCTGATGCCATCTAGTGATTGGTGGAGCTATGAGGAAGAAAATCTGATAATATTTCAAGAAAGTAGGGCAGTGGAACTTTAAATCAATTCTCAAACCTATGGCTGAATCCCAGTCGCAAGTTTATACTTAGTATGCAAGGTATGATGGTTCAATAAATTATTATTTAAGATGTGCTTATCCTAGTGCTTAAAATGAACCTGTACTAAGTTCTGTACTATGCTGTTCACGGTACCAGGAATTGGACTCTCTTTGGTCTAATTTTAATTTATATATTTATTTTATGAGTTAATGTGAATTTTTCAACTTTGCCTAATATTATGCTGTTCACGGTACCAGGAATTGGACTCTCTTTGGTCTAATTTTAATTTATATATTTATTTTATGTGAGTTAATGTGAATTTTTCAACTTTGCCTAATATTAGTTTTGTGTGTGTGTTTGTGTGTGTGTGTGTGTGCAATTAATCATTTTAGGAAAGAAACAAAAATCTATGTAACAAAATGAAAACAAATATGTAAAAATAGCAAATTACTTACTTTTGTTGTATATTAATTCATAATTTAATAATTTATACCTTTAGTACGATACACACACACACACATACACACATACATATATATATATATATTGAAGGATTTTGAAAGTCTGACAGTAATTAGTGTTACTGCAAAGTTAACCCTGCCTGCTTTAACTGTTTGAAAATGATTAACAGTTGAAAACATTTGTTAGAAATTTAGAAAAGTAATCAAATGTAATCAATTACATTACTTTAATAAAGTAATTGAAATAGTTACACTGCTTATTACTTTTTAAAAAGGAAAACTTGTAATCTGTAACCTATTACATTCCAAAGTAACCTTTCCTACACTGCATATGTACTGTATATGTAGATCAGGGAATCATTTCCACTGTATACTAAGTTTGATGGATATTATGCAAATTGGAATATTTCTCATTTTAGAATTTTTAAATATTTATATAGTTGTGTTGGACTAAACAGGAAGCCTCTGGCAGACCTCAAATAGGCCCTTATCCTTTGCTCCGGGCTAAACGTGGAAAAAATACCAGTTTCACCACAAAGTTCTTTGTTTCAGTTCATCAAACAGTAATTAAATAACGCTCATCTTCAGAGCTCATAGTATGCATGTCCGTTTTGGTCAAATGCATTTCACAACAACGCAGTCAGGCCAAGTGGAAATTCTCCAAGCCACACCAAACTCCAGCAAATGATTCTTATATTTTACACAAATTCCTCGAGCTTCACAAGCAATTTCTCAGTCATCAGCAGTGACATGCTGGCGGCTTATGTGAACCCATTCAAGGTTGCATCTGAGTGTTTGCGTTCCCAGCTGTGCACTGACAGGCATTTTTCACCTGAGCAAAATCATAGAAATTGTCCAATTAGGTCCAATTATCAACCTGAAAAAATAGAATAAACTATGAATAAACACCCAAATAAATAATAAATCCTGCTGCAGGAAATGAAGGTTATTAGCTGTAATGATGTTTTGAACGCACCAGGAGTCCATCCATGAATGGCACGGAGAAAAAAAAAAAACAGTATTAGTCAGATGTTCTGGGATGGAGATTAATCTCTAGAAGGACGTTCAAAGACATTTGGGTTCTATAAAAACTTTGGAGAGATTCTCTACAAACTCTTAAAGGAACAGTTCACCCAAAAATTAACATTTTTTTTCTCTAGAGCAAAGAAGGTGGTATTTTGAAAAATGTCTCAGTGTTGTTTGTCTCCACAATCAAAGTCAGTGGTGTCCAATGTCGTTTTGGACCCTACCGTATGAACAAAAACATTCTTTGTGTTTCACAGATAAAATTCATAAAGGTTTTGATACTCTTTTGCAATCCACATAAAATTTCAAGCTCTGTATTATTTCTATACGCCAACAATTGTCTCATTTGTTTGTTTTTGTTTTTCCTTTTGAAATTTAGGAGAAACATCTGAACCAAAACTTGATGCATTAAAGAAACGTATGCTGTGAAAGAGCAACCTCTGAGAAACTGTATATTGCAGCAAAGATATATCAGTTTTTTATGACTATACTCTTAAGGTTTCCAAAAGTTTTTTTTTTTTCAGTGATGCCATAGAAGAGCCATTTCTGGTTCCCTAAAGAACCTTTCATTCAGCAGTTCCTAAAGAAACATTTTATTAATATGAAGGGCATTTTAATAACCAGAACAGCCTTTTTCCACTATAAAAAACCTTTTGTCCAGTGGAAAGTTTCAATGGATGTTCTGGAACCATCATTGCCAATAATGGACCTTTATTTTTAAGAGTGTACTTGCGACATCCAGCATATCTCGGTTTATCTTAGACAGATATGATGTATGACCTTCAGGAATGTCTCAGTGACTCTCATTTTGTCAAAACAGCACTCACATTGTTTGACATTCCTCATTCACAGTAATGTTCATGCGTATATTCCACAAGATTACATCAGGTTTCCTGCAGATGGACACTACTCCACCCATATCAGACTGATAAACATATAACCGTACAGTGTACGAAACATATTGCGTTGAAAACAGAAACGGGTGAGTTAAGCCATTATGTAAGCCATTAGCCAAAATATAGACGAGTAGAGAAATGTACATGAGGGAAGCCTGCCAATTTCAGCCTTTGCACTTACTCTCAGATTTCCATCAGCTTTGTGAAAAACTACTTTTCTGCTTGAGCAACATTAGTGTTTTAATACTTTGGAAATCGAGAAGGAATCTGCAATTGGGCCTAATCCTGAACCCTGGGGAGCACCGTAACGATGACTCGTAACCATTGCGAAAAGACGACTGGAGGGCCGCATAAAAACACCAGTCCTTCTGAGATCAGCATTAAATGTGGCATTGGGAGTATCTCTGACCGTGTCCGCCAATCTAACTGCTCGGGGGATAACATTTTTAAGGGACGGACACAACATGACTGACTCATTGTTTTGATAGGGTTTCTGGGGAGAGTTGCGTTGATTAAGAATTTGAAACACTGTACTTTGAACTTAGCCAGTCCTGTGATTGGTAACAGTATGTGTCCGGAGAGTATATCGAAGCCAGTATTTGTTATGCTAAAAGTGAATCTTATCAGATCATCATATGAAATTCATTGTGAAAATATTTCTCTTCTGGATCATTTTCATTTCTCACTGTAACATTAAGGAAACTGGGGAATTAGTGTATGTTTGTGGTGAGTGATATATACCTGTGGACCACCAAATGATAATCACTAGGGCAGTGTTATTTTAATATTATTTACATGCTATTATAGTTTGTATTAATATTTTGAATTAGCTTTTGTTTTCATTTCTATGCTTTTCATTTTAATTCAGTTTAATTTTAGTCAATTTGTTATGTGCTTTTGTTTGATATTACCAATGCGATATCATTCCTCTCAGTCCCATTTTTATTTCAAACAACTGAAGCTTAAAGTGTCACATTTAAATAAGTGACTATGTGATTAAATAAGTCTTGGGTGGCAATGCTGCTTTGTATTTGGTCATTTTGTCATTTCATGGTGTTACGGTACAATGAGAGAGAATAGAGAAGATATCAAGAGCCCAATGGAAAGCATGGGTCATATTCATAATGGCAGAGTTATGGATTGTTTATGGCTGCAAATGCAACTCTGGGATCATTATCAGTGACTGAAAAAAAATGTCAAATGATCCAATCAATCTCTCTCTCTCTCTCGTTCCAGCAAAACAGTTTGAATGCAATCAATGCTGTAACTCAAACTTCAGGACATGATTTTTAGCCCCCTTATTTGCTTGATTTGATTTATTAGAAAGCATAGCATAATTCCTTTATAGTGAATCAAGCTTGAAAATAAATGAGAGGCCAGTGGCATTATGAAAATAAGACTGCAAGTCTTATATATTTTTTAAAAGAACAAACAACAGTCAGTTTCCCGCCAGATGATAATTAAGATTCACCAAACCTCAAAATGAGGGTTGTTTATATTATTAGGTCTTTCTTGATGATTTCTCTCTTGTTTCTCTTCCTTCATTCCATAATTTTTCCTTCTCTCTTTGTCTTCCACTTTCATTTGCAGAGGGGACAGAATGAAAAATGATGGTCAGACGCAGAGAGGACACAGGAGAGACAGTCAGCTAAAAGCAATTTCTTGTCAAAATCTGTCTGTCAGTTACAGTCAGCTGAAGGGCAAGTCGACAATAAATCATTAACATTAAACAGACAAGTGGCACTCTGATTAATCCTTTCATCCTCTTCACAGGAAGAACAAAAAGCACCAACAAAGCCATTCAGTCTTCTCCAAATTGCAAAGAGGAATTCCAAGAAGATTCATCAATATACTGTAAATGAAGGTATGTTGTGTATTGTAGGAAGGCAACCTATACTATGAGCAATAAAAGTGAAAGTCATTGTTGAATGCTAATCAATTTATTAGTGCACAGGAATATATACTGTTGCATAACATGCTGGGATTGATTGAATAAAGGCATCAAACCTATATTCTTAGAAATGAGAACTTGAAATCAGATATGTTAGACTTCTATTGGACATCAAATTAACCTAGCATAAAATGTAGCTAGTGATGTCTTTGTCTCACCCTTAAAATGGTGATTTTGGCTTGTCCCACAGTAGATGTCATGAATTTATTAACTGTATATTATTATAAAAATGATGTTCAATATGTTTTTTTTTTTTTGTTTTTTTTTTAATTGTATTAATTTATATACATCATTTTTCGGTTGTGTTTTGAGTGTTCATGCAAAAAATGTTGTCTAGGTAGGCAGCTTCTTAGGTTTTGAGTGCCAAAATCTGAAATCTGTACTATTTTCTCTCTCTCTGTGTGTGTGTGTGTGTGTTTTTGAATGAGAAACTTCAGAGGCACTTGAATTCCTTTGTCCGTTCCCCAGCCTCTGAGGTCTATAATGAGAGAGAATAAACACGGCTTTATCACCAGGGAGGATTTAAACAGACAAGCATGGGAGGAGAGCTTAACGGTTTCAAGGACAAGAGGTGTTTAATTTTTCAGCTGATAATCATCCACCCATTTAGCATATGTCACACAGCGCGCTAATCATCAATCACCTTTTAATGAACTGCACCGCATTTCCTGCACTGTTCAATCGTCGTTTGTTTCAGAAAGCTTCCTTTATAATGTCCATCTCTTTATTGTTTTGTGAATCATTTAGTTAGAGTGTGTCTGTATATGTGTGTGTATTGTGATTATTCGCATGCAAGCCCAAGGAGAACAGGCTTACCAAGTCTTGAGATTAATTAGACATTGTGGTCTTCCGATGTCCTCCAAGAGGACGTCTTCTATCTCTATAGCTCTGTTTACCGAAGAAGAATAAGCAATTTGCTTTCACAAAAAAATGAGGGCTTATTGTTTCTCTCACCTAGACCACACACTAGAGCAAAAACAATTAAGCATGATTGAATAATTACAGAGAGAGAGAGATGAGGGGAAAAAATTAAAATTCCTTCTCGTCTTCATTCCTTTACCCATGTGCTGACATTTTTCTCTGGCCAAAGGTCAGATAGTAATAAAAAATGTCTGCTGAGCTGACCTTCTGATGTGTCCAAAGAACCGTATGGCACCATAGTAACCGTATCCACTTTATGGCGTCCAGACCCATAGAGGAGCAACAGAGGCTTTTAAAAACCGAAATCCCCCTCCTCTCCACGCCAACCCATATGGCGCTCCTCTATTTTATTTGCCTGCTCACTCCTTGATATATGAGAGGTATTAAACATGACACCTGTGCTGAATGAGTAGTCCTCCATGGTGACGTTTAACCAAAGTTTAACCACAATTCAGTTTATTCCCTGTTGTTGTTTATAGCAGATGTGAGGCTGAGATTATCTTGAGGTTCAAGCCCACCCAGGCAGAACAATATCTGCACATTAGCCACGTCTTTCAGTCCAACCTAAACTCTGACCATCCAGCAACAATTATTAATGAAAACAAAGAAGAACTACGACCCTCGAGAGGTGTTCTTTTTAAATAAGAAGATAAAAATGTGTAATTTTATAGTGAGGTGAGTGTTTTTAGGTTTTTCTAAATGTATTAATATCTTTTTTATTAATACGTTTTTAAATACATATTTTTGTTCTTTTGCAGGTCTTGTGAGACCCTCAACCACCTGATTCCACTTTGGTATGGACCACCCACTTTACTCAGGTCGATCAAGATTCATCCTGCATATTTTTTTTTTCATTGAATATCCTGTTTTACTGATAAATACTGAAGTAAAATTCATTGCAAATGCCGTTTCAAAATGAAGAATTGGCCAATTTGCTGGTTCAGATTTCTGTTGGTTTGGTGATCTAGCAGGTGAACCAGCAAACCCATTTTGCTAAACAGCAAACTCATTCTAGCGAAACTGTTTGACCACGATAGTGATGCTGGTTTAGATAGTTAGCAGCCTGGTGAGGAAATGCCACCACTATACCAGCATCCAAACCCACAACATATAAAAGTTTTTCTTAAGATTCATTTTTTTAACTCTATATTTTTAAGTTTGGGGTCAGTAAGATTTATTTATTTTTTATGTTAAAGCTGCATTTATTTGAATACAGTGTGTATATATCTGTATATGTGTGTGTGTGCGCGCTGATTTGGTGCTCCAGAAACATTTCTTATCAATGTTGAAAACATTTCTTTAATATTCTGTGCAGAACTTTTTTTCAGAATTCTTTGAATAGAAAGTTCAAAAGAACATTATTTATTCAAAGAAGTCTTCTGTAACATTATAACTGTGCTTGCTGTCATCCTTGATCAATTTAATGCATCTACGCTGAATAAAAGGATTAATTTCTTTAAAATAATTTCATTTCTTTTACAAAGATCTTACTGACTCCAGATTTTGAGTGATAGTGTACGGTATATATATTGTTAAATCTACATTAATATTTAGCTTTTTCAATGTAAAAATAGTTTATACAGTATGTTCGTCTTCATAAACATGACATAACATGTAGCAGAGATGGTATTGATTCTGACAGTGGTTGAGGTGCCCTCTTTGAACCAGAGACTGATGTAAGAAGCAGTGAATCTCCTGTGGAGAATCGGACACAGGCCTTCCCTGAGGCTTCTCTTGGATTTCCATGGGAACTCTAGCTGTCAGAACCCTAAATTTGAAGTGCCTCAGTGCCACAGATGAGTTTCTCACATGCTGCTGTCAACAGAAATCCACCCTCACTCTCCACAATATCTCTACCATAGCCCTAACAAACTAGGTCTTCCTCTGATATCGGCTGAACGCCTTGAAAATAAAATTCACTCTTGTCACACAAGGCACTCTTTTTTTTTTTTTAACACCCAAAGCTCTCTGCCAGATGCTTGCAGTCTCTGGTTTCATTATAAAGAGTCTCAACATAAGGAGAGAATCACCTCAATGTACACCTTCAGCCATGGCAATGCCACTGGGAATGACAGCTCTTCCACAATGAGCTTGATAATACTCAAAGAAAGCTATTGTTTTCTAGGCTTCAGACAAGGCGTTCTATTACATGATGCATTGTGTCAGGATGCGTTGAAATGGGGCATACCACTCTAGGGTTTGCTTAGGCACCGTGCCACGTTCTCAGTCTGCATCTTAAAAAGCAGTGCACGCTATCAATGTTATTCATTCATTCTCCCATCCTCTTGAAAAGCTTTTAAGGAGAAGGAAGCCAGTTTGGAAGACAGCCTGCCCGCACAATACTTGGAGGATTCCAGCTCGTCTTTGAAGGAAGGGTTCAGGGGCCGGCGTGGAGGGCTTCCGCTACGATTTTCAACCGCAGCAATGTAAGATTCTCCATTTCCTTTTCAACAGCACCACGTTAACCTTTTAATTAGCTCTGTGATTGGACAGCGGTAGATTCACTTGGATCAATGTAAAGAAGGGGCCCAATTGTGGTTACATAAGCTATTAAAAAGCCTCAGGTAATTAGAAGAGTAGTAGAAAGTATTTTTTCAATACTTGGAGAAGTACAAAAGAACATAATCAATCTGATTTCTAACTGCATTGTCAAAAATGCATACAGTATGTTTACATTTCGATCAGCAGTTGGAGGAACTGGAAAATGCAGTCTCGTGTGAAGATGTCTGTGGCTTTTTCAGTCACTTTGAGTCAGTGAGTACGTCTCCAGGAATGATTGATACCATCACTTAGGGCAAAAGCAAAAAATACAAACTTTGGTAGCGTGAGAACAGCATTCCTGGAGCTGGATAAATCAAACGGAGACATGCGGATGACAGATAGACATTGTGCAGCAGGCAGAAGCTGAATCAGAAGCATGAAACACGCACAAAACTGCTTTGACTCTGTCTTGCGTGGAGCTCTGTCCCCTGGGAAGAGAGAGACGCGACCCTTGGAGAGTGATCTCCCATACACACCAGTGGTGTGTGTCCATGTGGACCACACAGACAACTAAAAAACTTGGTTGGTTCAAGGGCCCCTTGCTAATATGGTAATATTCTTATTTCAGTGTAGATCAATGCCTTTGTAGCATAGGTGTAGATTTGGGGGGAAACAAGTTTAGAGTAATATGTTTTTAACATTTTCTGTTATTAAACACAAAATCCATCCACAAAAAATAGTTAAAAAATTTGGAGTTAGCAAGATTTTTTAAAGTCAGTGAACGAAATCCTTAATGCTCACCAAGGCTGCATTTATTTGACCAAACAAAAATACAGTAAAACAGCAATATTGTGAAATATTATTACAATGTACAGTTTTCTATTTTAATATATATTTTAAAATATAATTTATTTCTGTGATTCAAAGCTGAATTTTCAGCAGCCAATACCCCATTCTCAGTGTCACATTATCCTTCAGAAATCACTTTAATATTCTGATTTGGTGCTCAAGAAACATTTATTATTATTATAGAGTAAATGAAAAAAAAAAACACTTGTGCTGCTTAATATTTTGTTGAAAACAGAGATACTTTTTTCCAGCATTTTTTTGATGAATAGAAAGTCCAAAAAAAACAAAAAAAAACAGCATTTATTTTAAATAGAATTTTTACAAATGTCTTTACTGCCACTTTTGATCAATTTCATGCAAGGGTTTTTCATGCCACCACTGCTTCATAACATGTCACATTTCACCCTCACAAAGAATGATTGCATTACATTATTCAGACAATTAAAATACAACATGGATAGGACATTTCAGTGCACAGGTGTCTACCAGGCCCAGCTGCCAGCCGTTTGTCATTTAGGGTCACAGCATGTTTCCATTTCTGTTTAAATAAAATTAACCCAACATCTATTTAGAGCAGCCTTTATGAACATGCTGGAGGATCCAAGAACCTAGTTGGTAAAGAAAAAGTCTCTGTCAAAAAATTGTCTCATTTATTTCTATTTCTACCTCTCCTTAAGAATTTTAAGAGACACATCTGAGATGAAGTCGATACTTAAATGAAACATAACTGGGAACTCCATTACGTCTCCTGAGCAATGAAAGAGCAGTATTTGAGTGATAAAATGTTCCTCTGGGAAGGTCTAAGATGGAAAATAAGAAGTATGATTGTAGATGGCATGCAGATTAAGACAGAAAAAGAATGAAAGATGCTAATGTTGACCTCAATCCTCAAGACTACTACCGATGCCAGAATGTGCTATATCACTTCAAAGACTTGTGCAGAAGTGCTTTATCCAACAATTATCCCTCTCACTCAATGTCTTTCTTTTGGTGTCATCATTGTTGTTCCAGCGCAGTCTTGGAATGCAATGGTTTTTGTGGATGAACGATTTTACTACTGATCAAAGTCTGCCAGAAACATCTGGGCCAGCGTAGCAAAGCTGCCTCAATGGCAAATGGCTTTTGAGGATATGAAACAATATTTTGACTCTTCACATCATACTGTTTTATTTGACTCTAAAGTACTTAGTTTGAGCATGTAAATGCCTTCGAAATGCTCCTCCTTAACAGAAGATAATGATTATTCCAACCAGAACGAGGTAGGTTACGGCCAGGGGCCTTATAGGTAAGGGCACCTATTCATTCAAATAGCTGAGCTCTTACACTTTCTGTTCACACGTTTTCTTCAGGCTTGTTTAATATTCTTAAGTTGTAGATAAACACTTGGCATAAGGAAGCTTTTCACTTCACTTGAGAAAGTAGCACCTAATTCCGAACAAACAGACATATATGCTCTCCCAGGTTGAGTTTCAAATGTTGACCTTTGACCTCTCGCTCTCGCTAACCTACAAGTAAATGTGTAGCCACACATGGGCTGTT